GAAGAAGAAGAAGAAGAAGAAGAAGAAGAAGAAGAAGAAGAAGAAGAAGAAGAAGAAGAAGAAGAAGAAGAAGAAGAAAAAGAAGAAGAAGAGTCTCTTATATAGTGCATATCCACTATCATCCGATCTTCTTCATCATCATCATTAGCAGCAGCAGCAGCAGCAGCAGCAGCATCATAGTTGTCTTCTTACCCGTCCATAAAGAAGATACAGAGGCAACACGTCATAACAGCGAACATCGCTGTCCTGGTAGTTGGGAACCCACAGCGGATTGAAGATAGCGTTCAGCTCATTGCAAGGACAGGGTGGAACCACCAGGTTGAAGAAGTCGATAGCTGGAAGAAAGAATATTAAGATAAATCACCTGATAGCCTGTACTGGTCGTTGAAGCGGGTTGTTGGAGGGTGCTACTGGTAAATCCATACTTTCTGTTGTTTCTGTCTGTCGGTCTTACTTTTCCCAGCACTTAATAAAGTGATAATATGTACTGATCTTTGAAACGGGTGGTTGGAGGACACCACAGGTAAGTCCTCCTTCTTTTCGCTCCCTCTGTTGTTTATCTGTCGGTCTTACTTTTCCCACCACTAAATAAACTGATAAACTGTACTGATCTTTAAACTTTCAGGCGGGTGGTTGGAGGGCACGACGGATAAATCCGACTTCTTTACTTCTCCTCTGTTACAATAGTTTCTGTCTGTCGGTTTTTCGCAGCACTAAACGACCTTTTTTGTGCCGATATGCTTCTCTTTACTGAAAAAAAACACATGAACAGTGATCCTAGAAGAAAAATTCAGAGTGGATATTTATACTAGCACATCAACAGACAAAGTTGTTGGTTTGTTGAGGGTTTTTTGGGGGGGGAGGGGGGTGGTGTACTTGTGTGTGTGTGTGTGTGTGTGTGTGTGTGTGTGTGTGTGTGTGTGTGTGTGTGTGTGTGTGTGTGTGTGTGTGTGTGTTGTCTTTTTTATTGTATTAGTGGGAGTGTGTGCTGTCTTGTTTTATTATATTAGTGGGAGTGTGTGCTGTCTTGTTTTATTATAGTAGTGTGTGTGTGCTGTTTTGTTGTTTTGTTTTATATTTGTGCGTGTATGTGTGTGTGTGTGAGTGTAATGTGACACGGTCGATGCCTGTGTGTCATATTTTATGACATCTGTGTAAATATCCCATTCCAGTGACACCCAACTCCATCTACGACATGGTATGGTCGCTAGAACCGGACGTGGGTCTAGTCCTACAGATGCCCTACTGTGCCACGAGGAAAGGGTTCGGAGCTGTCTATCAACAGGTGTACTTCGGCACCATGCAGGCTAGGAATTGTCTGAGCGCCAACGCGGTCAACATCAACTGTTCTACGGGCATGTCCAGCATGTTGAGACGAGACGTGCTGGACAAGGCCGGAGGACTGGCGGAGTTTGGACAGTACCTGGCTGAGGACCATTTCATTGCCGAGGCCATCAGAGCGCAGTGAGTGCAACAACCGTGGGTTTTTTGGGGATTGAAAGGGGAAAGGGTTCCCACCCTAGCGGGAAAACAGCAAAAAGCCAGGATTTTCATTTTCAGATTTCTCAATTGCGAAAACACCATGAAAGTGAATGAAAATGGAGAAAGCCTGGAAATCAAAATCCGGAGTGTTGTCTACATCACCACATCATGTGCAGCTCATCTTTTTAAAAAAGTATCTAATTGAAAATGGTTACAAAATTCAGGAGAAAAACTGGGTAAAAACCTAGACATTTTTTCTTGTTGATGAGTGGGAACCCCAACGGGAGTAAAATTCTTGATTGAGTCATATGAGAGCAGTGAGAACCCAGTTGAGGGGGGGGGGCTCTGCTGGAAGGCCCTGTCTTTTTATTCCTTTATTCCTTTTTTATGCCTCCAAGTTCTTGGGGTTCGTCAGTGCATCTGTCTTTTCCCTGAATTGCCATTGTCGTGTGTATTGGCTTCTCTCTACTTAATTTACTTTAAGCAAAACTTCATTAAATAAATAAACCATCGAATATCTCAGTCTGTCTGATCAGATACTGTATACAGGTGTCGTTCGGTGTAGCCATTAGGAGCTATATCATCTCCCTTTATGACCCGAGTTCGATTCCCGAGTGGGATGAATATTTATTGTTATCGAGTATCTCTGCTGGGACGTTGTATCCCCCTTAGCACTGGTTGGCCCTTACAGGGGGTCGAAACCCGTTTCCTAAATTCTCTAAATTATGTGGAAGGGGCGTAAAAACCAACAAAAAGACAATTGAACACCTCCCCACCCCCCATCTCTCTCCCCCCCTCTCTCTCT